ATCTGATGAAGGAGGAGAGTCATCTCCACTATCTTGCTTTCCTCACTTTCACTGTCCTCTGAAACAGCCTTCCTTCTTATCATCCTGTGAAGGAACGTTCTCTTCATCTGACTGACAATTTCCAGCCTGAATATCTTCATTTTTACTTCCTTGTTATACTTTACATACAGCTTTAAGTGACTCCTCACTCTGCAATGGCATCAGAACATTTGAAATTAAATTACATAAGGACCAAATTTTTAATGGTATTTCTCTCCTTTTTATAAGACATTCTCTACATACGTTTATTTTATTATAAATAAACAATTTGCCGAAATTGATTTTTATTTAAATTTTTTATTCATTTTACATACCACCCACAGACCCCCTCTCATTCCTTCTCACTCTCCCCCTACCCTTTCCCTATGACCCAATCCTTCCCCTCCTCCAAAAGGGTAAGGCCTCCAGTGGGGAGTAGGCAAAGCCTGGTACATTCAGTTGAGCCAGGACCAATCTCCTGCCCCCTATATCAGCACTGAGCGAGGCATCCCACCATAGGTAATGGGCCCCAAAAAGCCAGCTCACGTACTAGTGACAGATCCTAATCCCAGTGCCAGGGGCCCCTCAAAGAAAACAAGCTACAAAACTAACTCCCATATGCAAAGGGCCTAGTCTCCCATATGCAGGGGTCTAGTACAGTCCCATGCAGGCTCCACAGTTGTAGAACTAAAGTTCATGAGTTTCACAAGCTTGTTTCAGTTCTCTCTGTTGATTTCCCCTTCATGATCATGACCCCCCTGGCACCCTTGCTCATAAAATCTCTCTTCCCTCTCTTCAACTGGACTTCCAGAGTCTGACCTGGTGTTTTGCTGTGGATCTCTGCATCTGCTTATATCAGTGACTGGATGAAATATCTATGATGACAGTTAGGGTTTTCACCAATCTGATCACACCATTTTGTATATATACCACATTTTCTTTCCTTTATCCATTCTTTGGTTGAGGAACATCTAGGTTGTTTGCAGGTTCTGGTTATTATAAATAATGCTGCTATGAAAATAATTGAGCAAATATTCTTCTGGTATGATTGTGCATGCCTTGGGTATATGCCCAAGAGTGGTATCATTAGGTCTTGAGGGAGATTGATTCCCAATTTTCTTTCTTTCTTTCTTTTTAACTTTATAATTAAAATTAATTTTACATATCAGCCACTGATGCCCTTGATATGTCCTCCCCACCTTCCCCCCAGCCAACTCCCCATTCCCATCTCCTCCATGGCAAAGACTCCCCTGGGGATTGAGTTCAACCTGGTAGATTCAGGCCAGGCAGGTCCAGTCCCCTCCTCCCAGGCTGAGCCAAGTGTCCCTCTATTAGCCCCAGGTTACAAACAGCCAGCTCATGCACTGTGGTCAGGTCCCTGTCCCAGTGCCTAGATGCCTCCCAAACAGATCAAGCTAATCAACTGTCTCACTTATCCAGAGGGCTTGATCCAGTTGGGGGCTCCTCAGCTATTGGTTCACAGTTCATGTGTTTCCATTTGTTTGGCTAATTGTCCCTGTGCTTTTTCCAATCTTGTTCTCAACATTTCTCGCTCATACAAACCCTCCTCTTTCTCACCAAATGGACTCGTAGAGCTCCACCTGGAGCCTGGCCATGGATCTCTGCATCCAGTTCCCTCAGTCACTGGATGAGGTTTCTAGCATGACAATTAGGGTGTTTGCCCCTCCTATCAACAGAGTAGGTCAGTTCAGGCTTTCTTTCAACCATTGCCAGTAGGTTATTGTGGAGGTATCTTTGTAGATTTCTGTGGACCTCTCTAGCACTTTGCTTCTTCCTATTCTCATGTGGTCTTCATTTATCATGGTCCCTTATTCCTTGTTCTCCCTCTCTGTTCTTGATCCAGCTGGGATCTCCCACTCCCCCAAACTCTCTTTCCCTCGACCCTTGCCCTTCATTACCCCCACTCACATCCAGGTTGTTCAAGTAGACCTCATCCATTTCTCTGTCATTGGGGATCCCTGTTTCTTTCTTGGGGTCCTGTTTTCTAGGTAGCCTCCCTGAAGTTGTGAGTAGGAGTCTAGTCATCTGAGAACTCACCATCCTGATTTCCAAAGTAGCTGTACAAATTTACACTCCCACTAGTAGTGTAGGAGTGTTCCCCTTGCTCCACATCCTCTCCAACACAAGCTGTATTCAGTGTTTTTGATCTTAGCCATACTGACACGTGTATGATAGTATTTCAGAGTCCTTCTATTTTCATTTCCTTGATGAATGAGAATGTTGAACAATTCCTTAAATGTCTTTCAGTCATTTGGGATTCTTTTGATGAGAATTCTCTGTCTAGATCTGTAGCCCATTTTTTAAGTAGATTGTTTGGTATTTTGATGTCTAGTTTTGTGAGTTTTTTATGTATTTGGATGTCAGCCCCCAGTCAGATGTGAGGTAGGTTTAAATCTTTTCCCATTCTGTAGGCTGACGTTTTGTCATATTTATCATGTCCTTTCCCTTACAGAATCTTCTCAGTTTCAGGAGCTTCCATTTATTAATTGTTCCTCTCAGTGTCTGTGTTACTGGTGTTATATTTAGGAAGTGGACCTCAAAAGAACAATACTCAACTTCATTTGGAAAAAGAAAAAAACCCAGGATAGCTCAAACAATCATGTACAGTAAAGGAACTTCTGGAGGCATCACCATCCCTGACTTCAAGCTCTACTATAGCTTGGTATTGACTCTTCTTTCTGATGAGCTCTCCTCAAAGTTCTCAACACTTGCTTCCATATCTTCAGTTATATTTGAACATGAGGAGTTGCCTGAAATTAATGGCCATGCTGTTTAATTAATATCAAAAGCTACGTAAGCTGTTTTTCCTTCACTTTCCCTCCATTTCCTATTGAGTGACATTTATTTATTTATTCATTTTATAGTTTATTAATTTTTACATATCAACCACATATTCCCCTGTCCTCCCCCTCCCCCCTTTCCCCAGTGGATGAACTGCCTCTTTGGAACCTGGGGCTTATGCTGGGCTACTTTTCTCTGCCTGGGAGGAGGGGACTGGACCTGCCTGGACTGAATCTACCAGGTTGAGTTGAATCCCCAGGGTGTATTAACTGACATTTTAATAATTGCAATTCTGTTGCTCCTGAGAAAGAAGTTTCCCATGAACTCTTGCTAATCCTGGAGTCCCCTTACCCTGAGAGTGATTTCCTTCAGTCCTCAGAGATGTATGGAATCCTTTGTCCTTCTTTATGCTCCACATTGTGCATTAATATCTTGTATATTGAGTATGGGTATATGTTCAGCCAGATATGTGAAAAGTTGTACAGAGGCACATCAAGGATGAATTTTTATCCTCTTCTAGCTGTAGGGTGGATTCACTTCTATGGACTGTACAACCACTGGTAAGTAAAGGATCCTTTATTGTTTTACAAATCACATCTTTAATAAGCTAATTCCATATACCAAAGTCTTTGTTCTACGCCCCCAAGAGGGATAATGCCAAATGCAAGTTCTCCTTCTACCCATAGGTTTTTTTTGTTGTTCTTGTTACTAAGTTTGCATAGGCTTTGATCCATAGAAAAACTCTCAGATAAAACTTTAAACAGAAGGTATGGAGACAGGGGGAAGAATCACATAAGGCAGATCAAGGCTAGATTCTAACCCACCATTGTCAAACCGGGTAAGCTTGTGGGAAATGAAACTTCCTTCAGGTTTCATGTGTCCAAGGTCCATCATTTCTACAGAGTGCATTCAAGAACATCTAGAGGTAAACAATGAGACCCTGTCTCAAAAAAAAAAAAACAAATTTGAAAATGTTTTCTCATATCCCTCTTAGGAACACTTATAAAACTCATTGTTTTACCCACTGGATTTGGATAAAATCATGTCTTTGTCTCTGTCATTGATGTACCTTCTTGGGAAATAGCCATTCAGTATTCATGTATCCCCAAGAAAATTTCCCACAAATTACTCAAAGCATATGTAGGGCTGGGTAGGAAGCTGGCCATGATAAAAGAACCTACAGCATTTTGAGTGTCATCTGGCTGAAATGATAGAGAACCAAGCAGAAACTCTGATGGGAAAAAATCAGCTCGGAGCACCCTCACCTGAAGGTGCTGGTTCAGAAAGATGCCAGGATTATTTCTTGTTAAGTCATGGTTGTTGGTGAAGAGGACCATCCAAGAAAATGTAAATGGTATATGGGAGATGCTCTGCAAGAAGATACCAAAATCAGATATGGGTTTGTAAACCAATCTCTCAGGAAGCTGACTGAGCAAGGGGAGCAGACTGAGAACTGCCTGAGTTTCAGGAAGCTATGTGTCAGAAACTAAAACCGAAAGTAACGAAACCCCCAGGAATGGAGACCACATGTTTTGCAGCCCCACCCTTCACTGCAGTGGGAAAACAAAAGCCACTTGCCTAGAAAGAGCAGTTCCTGTTTTTGCAAGGACTGCCTGTATAACATACTCTTGACAAGGAGGCATCATACTGCATAGGCAATATAATTTGTGTCTGTTCTTTTGGCAAGAGGACGAACCATCTGCAAACTTTTGGCAACTGGAAGATGCTATGATCCCCACCCTCATAGTTCTGCTTTGTCTTGGTGAGAAATGAAGTTGTGGAGAGAGAATTCTGTTCTAAGAAGTGGTATACCTCACAATTGAGCAGTAATCCATCAGGGTGTCTCAGTAGCTCAGAGGGGATCTGGAAGTGGAGGTCCTGCTCAGGCTTCAAGTACATACACTCACAGGTAACTCTCTTGTAGGACTGAGTCCTGGCCCCAGGAACCAAGTGCAGGCAGGTGAGTGTCTTCCCAGGTTTTCTAAAGTGTAAGTTCTCAGTGGGGATCAAAGGTCACCTCTGAAGAAAAGAGATGGAGAACAGCTGGTGTGGGCTGTTAGTGGTGTTGCGTAGAAGTTCCTGAGATTGAAATCTTGCAATTAAGCAGGATGTCCTCTGTCCTAGCTCCCATTTTTTGTTGTTATTTTGTTTGTTTGCTTTGCTTTGTTTTGTTTTTTGTTTTGCTTTTGTTTTGTTTTGTTTTTAGGGGGCCTCTCAAAACCCACACTCAGAGCTATGCCAAGTAATGTGGTAACCATTGGGAAGCAGGTAACTCTACTTTGTGAAGGCCCCTTAGATGCCCAAGAATACCATTTCTATAAAGAAGGTAAGCCACATTCCCAGGTACCAACAGCTCATGAAGACACTGAAAAAAAGGACAAGATCTTTATCTCATCCATTAAAAGTAATGATGCAGGCCAATATCAGTGTTATTTTAAAAGCCGTGCTGGCACATCAGAACACAGTGACACCCTGGAGCTCGTGGTGACAGGTGAGTAGATACTCAGGAATCATATGAATCCCCAGATGTGACCCTTTGGAAAAGTCTTCTCTGAATGTATCCCCACTCATTACTCAGGTCTAGGGGACAGTCCAGACTGTGTGAACCCACTTAATATTCCATATGTATCTCTCCTAGGTTTCTATATCAAACCAACCCTGTTTGCACTGCCAAACCCTATTGTAGCCTTAGGAGGATATGTGACCCTCTTATGTATCTCACATGAGGGATACAACAGGTTCATTTTAATTAAGGACAAGCAGTTCTCCAGCTCCATGGACTCACAATATGTATATGATGGGCTGTCTCCAGCCAGATTTGAAGTGGGTCCCATCACATTCAGAGAAAGATGGAGTTTCAGATGCTATGGTTATCACACAAGCAAGCCTCAAGTGTGGTCAGAAGGGAGTGACATCCTGGAGCTTCTTGTCTCAGGTGAGGAAGCCCCAGGCTCCCTATTGAATGACATTGAACTTGAAACAGTTTTCCCCAGGAGACCCTAATGTGTGATAAGTACAGGGAAGGACAGGTTCCTAAGCCTACATATACAGCATGCAGATTAGGGAGTCAATATACAGAAAGCACTGAGGGATGTTCTGAGAAGTGAGCCTGGCAGGGTCAGCAGAGAGATGGATGTTCAGATGGTTCCATGTGTCCTTCTGGTATACGAGGACCAACAACTCAGTACAGTGCCTCCCTGGAGCTGTTGGTGACAGATGAGAAGTCACTGAGGAATCATATGAATTCCCAGATGTGACTCTTTAGAAAATCTGCTCTGAATGTATCCCCACTGATTACTCAGTTCTGAGGGACAATCCAGACTGTGTGAACTCATTTAATATTCCATATGTATCTCTCCTAGGTTTCTACTACAAACCCACCCTGTCTGCACTGCCAATCCCTGTTGTAACTTTAGGAGGATCTGTGACCCTTTCATGTACCTCAAAACAGAGATATGACAGGTTTATTTTAATTAGGTATAAGCAGTTCTCCAGCTCCATGAACTCAAAATATGTATATACTGGTCAGTCTCCAGCCATGTTCCAAGTGGGTCCCGTCACTCTCAGTGAAAGATGGAGTTTCAGATGCTATGGCTACTACTCAGGAGAGCCCCATGTATTGTCAAAAGGGAGTGATATCCTGGAGCTTCTAGTCTCAGGTGAGCAAGCCCCAGGCTTGAATGACATTGAACATGAAGCAGGTTTCTCTAGGAGATGCTAGTGTGTGATAAGTACAGGGATGGACAGGTTCCTGAACCCACATATACAGCATGCCAATTATGAGAGTCAAGATACAGAAAGTACTGAGGGGTGTTCTGAAAAGGGAACTTGGGAGGGTGAGGAGAGAGACAGGTCTTCAGAGGGCTCTATGTGTCCCTGTGGTGGTGACCACTGGGAAGGACATGTGTATTAGCCCACAGATACAGATGCAGACTCTGGGAGTCAAGATACAGAAACCAATGAGAGGTGTTGTGATAATAGAACATGGGAGGGTGAGCAACGATATGGATCTCCAGAAGGTTCCATGTGTCCTTCTTTTATTCCAGGGTCACGTCTGCGCTTCACATTCACTGTACAACTGTATAAAGTCCCACATCCTTCTCACTTACCTCTTTTCAGGGACGCTCCAGAAACCCAGTATCTGGGCTGAGCCAGGCTCTGTGATCACCTCAGGGAATCCTGTGACAATCTGGTGTGAGGGGACGATGGAAACTCAAATGTATTTCCTGTATAAAGAAGGAAGTCCAGCACCCTGGGGCAGATTGACTGCACCAGTACCTGATCACAAGGCCAAGTTTTCCATCCCATCCATGAGAGAGTATAATGCAGGACGATATAGCTGTTACTGTTACAATTCTGCTGGGTGGACACAGCAGAGTGACACCCTGGAGTTGGTGGTGACAGGTGAGTAGATACTCAGGAATCATATGAATTCCCAGATGTGAGTCTTTGGAAAAGTCTTCTCTGAATGTATCCCCACTCCTTACTCAGGTTAGGAGGACAGTCCAGACTGTGTGAACCCATTTAATATTCCATATGTATCTCTCCTAGGTGTCTACAACAAACCCACCCTGTCTGCACTGCCAAACCCTGTTGTAGCCTTAGAGGGATCTGTGACCCTTTCATGTACCTCAAATCAGAGATATGATGGGTTTGTTTTAATTAAGGATGAGCAGTTCTACAGCTCCATGGACTCACAATATGTATATGATGGCCAGTCTTCAGCCAGATTCCAAGTGGGTCCCATCACTCTCAGAGAAAGATGGAGTTTCAGATGCTATGGTTATCACGCAAGCAAGCCTCAAGTGTGGTCAGAAGGAAGTGACAACCTGGAGCTTCTAGTCTCAGGTGAGGAAGCCCCAGGCTCCCTATTGAATGACATTGAACTTGAAACAGTTTTCCCCAGGAGACCCTAATGTGTGATAAGTACAGGGAAGGACAGGTTCCTGAGCCTACATATACAGCATGCAGATTAGGGAGTCAAGATACAGAAAGCGTTAAGGGATGTTCTGAGAAGGGAGCCTGGCAGGGTCAGCAGAGAGATGGATGTTCAGATGGTTCCATGTGTCCTTCTGGTATACGAGGACCAACAACTCAGCACAGTGTCTCCCTGGAGCTGTTGGTGACAGATGAGTAGTCACTGAGGAATCATATGAATTCCCAGATGTGACTCTTTAGAAAATCTGCTCTGAATGTATCCCCAGTGATTACTCAGTTCTGAGGGACAATCCAGACTGTGTGAACTCATTTAATATTCCATACGTATCTCTCCTTGGTGTCTACACCAAACCCACCCTGTCTGCCCTGCCAAACCCTGTTGTAGCCTTAGGAGGATCTGTGACCCTTTCATGTATCTCAAATCAGGGATACGACAGGTTCATTTTCATTAAGGACAAGCAGTTCTGCAGCTCCATGGACTCACAATATGTATATACTGGTCAGTCTTCAGTCAGATTCCAAGTGGGTCCCGTCACTCTCAGTGAAAGATGGAGTTTCAGATGCTGTGGCTACTACACAGGAGAGCCCCATGTATTGTCATAAGGGAGTGACATCCTTGAGCTTCTAGTCTCGGGTGAGGAAGCCCCAGCCTCGCTATTGAAAGACACTGAACCTGAAACATTTTTTCCCCAGGAGACCCTAATGTGTGATAAGTACAGGGAAAGAACGGTTCCGGAGTCCACATATACAGAACACAGACTGTGGGAGTCAAGACACAGAAAGTACTGAGGGGTGTTCTGAGAAGGGAACTTGGGAGGGTGAGGAGAGAGAAGGGTCTTCAGAGGGCTCCATATTCGCTGTTATTCAAGGGTCAATTCCAAGTATCATATTCACTGTGAAACTGTTTAAATTCCCACATCCCTCCCACCTACTTCTTTGTAGGGACTCTCCAGAAACCCAGCATCTGGGCTGAGCCAGGCTCTGTGATCACCTCAGGGAATCCTGTGACAATCTGGTGTGAGGGAACCATGAACACTCAAATGTATTTCCTGTGTAAAGAAGGAAGTCCAGCACTCTGGGGCAGATCGACTTCAGCAGTGCCTGATCACAAGGCCAAGTTTATCATCCCTTTCATGAGAGAGTATAATGCAGGAGGATATCACTGTTTCTGTTATAACTCTGCTGGGTGGACACAGCACAGTGACTCCCTGGAGCTGGTGGTGACAGGTCTGTGGACACTAAGTGTCACAGTCTTCACATTTTCTGTGTGTGGGTTCCTGATAGCTCTGCTGCTTGGGAGAATATGACCTACATGCAATAATAAGGAAAAGTTTGATCACACTAACATAATAGTTGCTGCTTTACACTTCTAAAATGTATGACACCATGTGGTTGATTGTAAGCAAGTTTAAACACAGTACAAATTCGGAAAAAAAGATTGCTGGTGTAAGAGAAAATCCAGTGAACAACTAGGATTAATTGCATCAAAACTCAACTCAAATGTGACCATGAAAATGGGTTCTATAGCTAAAGGGCCTTTAATCTAGTGTGGTCTATGACTGACATAGTGTAGATGTCAGCAGGCTATAAAGTGTATAGCACATCTTGCCTCAGAATGGGCTTTATTAACTGAGAGCTAATGAAAAAGTCTAGGGAGACAGAGTCTGGGATAAACATTTTGGGGTATTCATGTGATGCCTGGAGCTACAGATAGATGGTCCCCTGGTTATTAACAACATCCACTCCCAGCTCTCTTGATAGAAAACAGGTATTTATTCCATCAGTTGAGGAGACACACTGCATGAATAACTTTCCTGATATCTCCCATGTTACTTGTGAGATCAAGTACATCATGTCCTCTACATTTTCCCTCAGGAAATATATCTTCCAAATGCTTTTACCTACAGTCCAACTGCTGGTGCCAATGTATCACTTAACAGACCATATCCTGTTTTCACTAAGGGTCCTCGAAGGTAAACCTACTCTGTCATTATGGCCCAGCCCTGTTGATACCTCAGGTGTGACCCTCCAATGTGTCTCTTCAAAAAAACATGATTGGTTCATTGAAACTGGGGAAGAAGAGAATTTCTCCAGGTCCCTCAAGGCTCAGTACACACACACACTGGACAGTCCCAGGCTCTGTTTACTGAGATCCCTGTGACATCCAACAAGAGGGGGCCCTTTAGATATTATGGATACTTCAAAAGTAGACCACATATGTGGTCAGTGGCCAGTAACCCTCTGGAGATATTTGTCTCAGGTGAGTAAGTCTCATTCACTCCACTGTTTTCATCATGAGAACCCTTTATCACTAGCTCTGCTGGCCTGAGGATGGTTCCAGTCATGATGGCTGAAGGGAGCGCTTGCCATCTATTGCTCAGAGGGGAGAGCCCTTGACAATGACAGGAAAGAATAGGGGGGTGAATTATCTTAGTTAGGGTTTCTAGTGTTGAAATGAAATATCACCATCAAAAAGCAAGTTGTGGAGGAAAAGGTTTATTTGGCTTACACATTCACAGCACTGTTAATCCTTAAAGGAAGTCAGGACTGGAACTCAAACAGGTCAGGACCCTGGAGGCAGGTGTTATTACAGAAGCCTTAGGATGAGTGCTGCTCACTGGTTTTCTCCTCATGGCTTGATCAGCCTGCTTTTGTATAGAATCCGGAACCAACACCTCAAGGATGGTATCAACCACAATGGGTTAGACCCTCCCTTCACCCCCGGAGTCAGACCATAGAGGTCTAAACTAGAACTCTGTTGCAGGATTGGTCCAGGGACCAATCTAAATGTGGGATAGATGGATTCTCTTCTGAGAGGGACAGACACATGTAAAAGCTCCTCTCCTTTGGGATTCTCAGTTTCCACTACTGTAAATTGGAAAGCCCTGTCCTATATGTTAAGTTCCTTTTAGTTCTGACCTTATCTGTGTCTTTCTCATACAGAGAAACCACTTCTGCAATTGTCCTGCCCTATCTGACACTGTGATGTTGACATTGTGCACATGTACGCAACAGGCCAGGGCTCCTTCCTTTCAGTTCATGCATTTTATCTTCAGAGTAGGGAACACAGTTGAAGTTTGGATTTCTTGCATTTAATCCTCTACAATGTGCCTTCCTGCTGGGTGACAAGTGGGTAAAATGTCTAGGAGTGAAAGGAGTCAGTCTTACATTGCATGGCTATATGAGTAAGAGGTAGTAAACACAAAGACTTGGTATGGACCTCACACACAATTCCTCCTTCATGAATTTAGTTGCATGTTTCCATGCCCCAGACCAGCATAGGAAGGCTTCCTTAATTCTGAATTGGAAATTGGATGTTATTTTCTTCAACAATGCTTAGTTCTTGATATAAACTTCATTCTCAAGTGACTTAGTCTGAAGTATGAACTCAAACAACTTGATGTGTGTGAAGAATCCAGAAGGAATCATGGCACCCCAGGGAAATGATTGATACTGGATCCTTCTGAAGTTTTGTGATTTGCCTAATATGCAATTATACGAAATGAAAATTGCAGGTAACATGAATGTTGACTTCAGAGAAGATACTCTGCTCTCTTAAGTACTTCATTAATTGTGTACCTTCTCTTCTGTACCTAGGAACTGATGAGAACATCACTGTATCACAAAACATGTCCAAACCAAAGACAGGTGAGTACAAATTCTCACTCATACAGCTTTTCTGAGGGTTTTGGTATCTGATCTTCCTCGGGTGATTTTCTTCTTCCCTTCATTCTTTCTCCACAACCACAGACTCAGAAACACAGGATCATCACACAGTGGAGAATCTGCTCAGAATAGGGATGGCAGGCTTGGTCCTTGTGGTCCTTGGAATTCTGGTGTTTGATGCTTGTCACAGCTGTAGACAGGATCAACACAGAAATGGACTATGAATGGGAAGTACAGCAACACATACTTTGCAGCGTCATGGACTAGACACTAAGTATGGGGATTCAGGGTGGATTTGTAAGAAAATACAGTGCTCATGTTGGAGCACTGACTGGGGGTCAATGTGAATTGAGTGCAAGGGAAATAACTGTCTGTTTATTGGGATGGAGAGTACTTTCCCCACCAATCAAAGTTAGTCCCTCACATCTTGCTGTGGACTTTTGCTGACCAGTGCCTCCTTTCTCCTCACCTAATGACATGGGGGAACATCCTGTACCATCAACTAGGGTTGACTGCTAATCTATGTACTTATTCTGCTTTGTCTTACTTTCATATAACTTTTTATTATTTTAAATTACTATGATCCTATCAACATTACAAATTTCAGGTTCTTTTCTACTGAGAGCAAAGTATTAAACTTAGTTACAATAAACATCACTAGAAATAAACCACCAGGATAAAAAATAAGTTACTTTATTCAAATGATTTTCTGAAACTCTTCTTGCAAGCTTTGGGAACTTCAGTTTTCACCATATGTCCATTCCGCGATTCTCTTAATATGGGAAAGATTGTCACTTATATACCACTGTTAGAACAACTCATTGGCAGGATATTATTGACATGGCTTTGAAATCATTACTTTTACAAGCAAAGTCCTAATGTGAACTATTTTATGATTTCTCTCTACATAGCCTTTACATCATCTTTAATACATTTATTTATTTCATTTTTTATTAAGGAATTTTTAATTCATTTTATATACCAACCACATATCCGCGTCTCTTCCCTTCTCCTGCACATCCAACATCCCCCCCCCAACCCCCGATTCCCTCCTCAAACAAGGTAAGGTCTCCCTCCCATGGGGAGTCAGCAGAGCCTGGTCATTTAGTAGAGGTGATTCAAGCCTCTCCTCCTGCAGGCTTCCAAAGATATCAACTGAAAACAGACTAGGCACAAACCTCATTTCAATTCTGGATGAGGAAACCCAGTAGGATCAAAAGGGTCCCAACAGCTGGCAAAGGAATCAGAAACATTTCTATTCCCAATGTTGGGAGTTTCACAAAAATCCCAAGCTAAACACCCACAACATATCCATAGAGGACTTAGCACACATAGACCCATGCAGTCTCTGCTGTTTCAGGCTCTGTGAGACACAGAGCCTTGCTTAATTGGTTCTAGGGGCCATGTTACCCCAGTGTCCTCAAACACTCTGGCTCCTCCAACCCCTCCAGCTCTACCATG